GAAACATATGTGATATTTATTGGAGACTTGAGCTACGAACAGGTTATTAAGGATTTAGATAAATTTTGAACCTATAAAATTCTGGCATGAACATGACCTATAACGTTATCAAGGTATAATTTTAGATAAATTTTGAACCTATAAAATTTTGGCATGAATTGACCTATCGTTGTGGTCCCTTTGAGTCGCACAAAAAACGAAAACACATTGAAATCGCGGAACTTCCGCTTTATATAGTAAGATCAGACCCTAGAACAATTATTATTAGAAAAACGAAAAGATTTTCCTAGTTGGCAGATGTATTATTAGAAAAACAAAAAGATTTCCCGAATTGGCAGTTGAGCTCTATATGGTAAGACCAGACCTAGAACAATTATTATTAGATTTTCCGAATTGGCAGATGCGAACAGAAGCAAAAATGTCAATATGTGCACTTTTTTGCCAGCCTTAAAAAAGAAATGTCAAAAATGTGCATTTTTTGCCGCCTCAAAAAGAGCAAAATTAGTGTGGGTCATGTCGGATTTCTGCAAAAAACGAAAATTAGTGGGTCATTTCGGATTTTTCTGCAGAAAATTTTTGTGACAGAATTTGGTAAAATCCAAGGTTAGCATTCCTGCTCAGCCGTATGGTTACACAATAAGCAGTGTTTGTGCAATTTCACTACATTCCAAATCAAGCTATAGCTTCGCAAAGTGGAGGTTTTTAAAAGGACGTGTTTCTCGATTTTTAAGTGGAGGTTTCTAAAAGGACATGTTTCTCGATTTTCGCTTATAAAATCTCTTTCCGTTGTTACTGCAAAGATATTCGTGTGTGCATAGAATAGTTAAAGATTTTTAGATTGTAACTCAGTTTACTGCATTCGCAAAGACTAATTCTGAAAAAAAAGTTTGAAAACGGGCAGAACTTTTGAAACAACCCAATAGTATGCCGCCTTCGACGGTGGGAGGGAAATTGCGAGCTGGTCTGAGCACGTGTAAGATTGGCTTGCGCGGGTAGAGGAACAAGCACCTCAATTACACCGCCTCGGCGGTCTGCTAGTAGTTTCGCCTTACTGAAGTGAATCGTGTTAGGACCAGTAATCCGCGGAGGCGGTGCCTAGTTGAAGTGTTCGTTCCTCTACCTCTTGCGCGCACAAGCTTGAGGGCAGTTTTCTTGACGGGGGCAGTGCGGTGCGCTCGGACTTGCTCTGTATTCATATTTGGGCTATTATTCGCTTCTATCATATCAATTTTCTGGAAAGTTCAGTTTTGAGCCATTGTCTCAAGCTCACCGAAAAGCAAAAGAACAGGATTGGTCAATTGGACATTACTTTTGGAGAAACCAGGAATAACTGCGTTGGGTGTGAACTTACATTATGTACACGCACTTCTTCGTTGCATAGTACCCGCATGCAGCAAGAGAAAGGAGTGAAAGGTTGTGGCTTGTTGTCTACGGCGTTTAGCTGTCTACGTTTCAACACTCGAGAGGGACGAATTGAATTCACGATCGTCATAAGGGTGAAACGTGGAATGAGGCATAGGACGATCGATAGCAATTGAACCTAAGCGACTTCTTTTTCGATAGCATCAAAATGGTGAATTCATTTGCTGCTTACCAGCCAAAAGACAGGATCAATCATCGCTAGCTGGGCTGTGGAGACCGGCGTGTCCTTGACGTTTGTCCATGTCCATTCGGCTGTCACAAAGCCGTTGTACAGAAGTGCACAGACAAAGAACGAGGCCAAAGAAAAGATCATTGACAAGAGCATGGGCCATGTCTAGAATAATGTAACTGAGTTAGGGAAATTCAAAGGAATCATTATTTTAGGTTGTCCCGAAAGTAATGTTGTTTCATTTTTGAAAACTAACTTTTTTGTTTGTCGACCGATTTGCTTCTCTTTAATTTATTAGAAAGGAGAAGTTTCCTCTTTGTGATGCTACCTTGGCTTCTAATATACAGTCTTGCAGAGATAAAAATGGAGAAAGAAGACCAATCAAACTTTAAACGTTTTAAGTTAGGTGCCAAAAATCTGTAAAGACGCGAAAAAATGTGAAAACGTCAGTATAGAGGTTTTGTGACATGCTCTTTGT